AAGAAGCTGGGCCTGCCAGCGCTGCGCTATCTAGTGTGCGAAGGGGGTTCCTGCCCTATATTCAAACAGGCCAAAGTTTACAAACATCTTGCGTTGTTGGTGAATGCCCATACTCCGTGACACTTCTCTGGGATAAGAGAATCAATGACATAGAATGCTAGTATTCAAATCTGATTGTTATGCTCTCTACCTTGAATGCATGACTGGAACCGTCAGCGGTTATGATCACATGCTCGAATGTAGCTGAAAGGTAATGTTGCTAGCCTAATCCAAGAGGCCGATCTACTCTACAAAGGGATTGGGCATTTGCTTAGTGTTTGGGCCATGACTAGGCGATTGGTACTTATGAAGGATGACCCTTCGATATCAAGCCATTATGGGAATAAACGCATACACAGATTAGGAGTTTTAAACAAGGTTTCCCACGACTCTGGGATAGGTTCGAGCTACCGCCATATATTTCTATCACTATGTTCTTCTTTCAAGGAGTTTGTATGTGCTATTTAGCTGAATCCGTTAGCGCTAGAAAATCGTAAAGTGCAGATGGACGACTAAACGATGTTAGGTCCGGATACTAGCTAAAAAACGTGTTGATAAGAACACACGGATCGCGTAGTCCAGTTCTATCTATGTAGGATTGCCCCCTTCGTGTAAGAGTGCCTCCTTAATGAATAGCCGTCGGGTCTCGGTCCGTAATAGTTGTGAGTTACATTACTCAGTGGTTCTTTCAGGCGTCAATAAGGCAAACAGCTCGGCACTAAGGCCCTTCTAGTCCCAACAACTGAGTTTATGTACTCAGTTGACCTTGTTTCTCCAATCTCAATGTGGTTCCCAGGGGGTCTACCCCGATGTGTAAAGTGCAATCCAAATGGAAAATACTCTAGACTGCTGTTCTTCCAGTTTACGGCTGGCAAGTTTAACGGTGGTAATGATTTGCAGCTAACCCAGATTTATAGCATGCAGCAATTGTCACGGAGTACAGGCATTCACCAACAACGCAAGATGCTTGTAAACTTTGGCCTGTTTGAATATAGGGCAGGAACCCCCTTCGCACACTAGATAGCGTAGCGCTGGCAGGCCCATCTTCTTTCTTTCCTTCTCCATGTTAGTATTTCGATAGAGTCTACCAATAAATTTATATTGTTCGAGACTGTCACAGCAATACAGATAAACATTAAGTAACATTTTATAAATAAATAGACATGGCAAGATTTTATAAATCAGGCACCTTTATAGCTGCCAGAAACCATACCCAACTGCATGTAGGTAGCTACTGTATTAAGGCTGGGGGGCTATCACGAGCTCAATTACTAGTAGATAAAACGAATGGTTTCATATATCTATACAAGGTAACGTATCAACGAGATTATCGATTATCGGAATCTAAAGAAGAAACGGGGCTGTTTGGCAAGAAATAGGAAAACTATCTACTCATCGTGTGATCGCATGTAGAAATGTTAGGGCTTGCTGTCTGCCCTATTGGCAGCGTTTGCAAGCATTGGCAATTAACTGTTGACTGTCACATCTTTCAAGACAACAATGACCTTGCGCCTATTTCTTTTGTATCTGCAAAGTGCCATCCAACTTTCTGGCACAAGAGAAAATTCTATCAAAGCTCCTGTACTTGTTGCTAGGTTAAGAAAGCTTTTTTCCACCATTCTGCACTCTGTATCATTAACCTTTCTTTCTTTCTTTCTTTCTTTCTTTCTTTCTTTCTTTCTTTATTTATTTATTTATTTATTTATTTACCTCAATACTGGATACCAATGCAAGATGAAACAGCGACTATACATTGGGCTCCAACAAAAATAACATGTCATCGAGAGTTGCGTTGGTTGGGTAAGAGATAGTCTCTGACATGTCTATATCAGTGTCAAGCACCGCAGAGGAACTCTGTTTACTGTCTAGAGGTGATTGTGTGCTGCTGCTCTGATTTTGTTGCCAGGGTGCAAAACTGCTTGTCTCCCCTGACGGATAATCGGCAGTGCTGAACGTCTGAGATAGATCGATATTGGAGGGTATGCCACTCAGATCCAGGCCCTTACTCGGGGCTATACGGTGAAGGTAGTTATTGCAAATATGGAAAGCCCGACGAGCGGCCTCATCAGACCCACCAAGGCAATACAGCCAGTGGAGGGCTTTCTTCGTTGCAGCAAGAACAATTTCAGGTGATTCAGAACTCCCAACAGCGCCCTCACTAGACTCGGTCTTCGCACCTTCCTCAGCCTTCGTTGGCACTGAGTCAACAGACATATGTATAAGCATAATTATAGTGGCCTGCATCAGAAAATGGAGGAAACTCCACCATGAGGTGGTGTTATAGACCCACCCCGCTTCTATCTGATTTGGCAAAATTTTGATGAGCGCTAAGGACGCACGGAGACATGCTAAAGCAGTATTGTCATGAAACAGTGAATTAGGAAACCTAATGCCGCTCTTCGAATCAACATGTGGACGTGTGAGGCAAGGCCGGTTAAGGACAATCCGGGCGCTGTAATAGTGCAACGCCAACGAGACTTGGTAACATGATTTACTCCTGGGGAATGTACTATCATGAATGTCTTCAAAGACCAAGGAATCGTGTAACCCAGACAACCATTGGTCCATCTTCTTGCTGTAGAGGCCAATGCGACTTTTTATCTGAGCCCAACCATCTTGGAATACATCAGTACTATACACACGATCGGTAATGGCGTGCATGATCAAAGACAGATCTACCAAATAAAAGAAGTAGAGAGATGGACTGAATGCAACAGATTTCAGGCACGCCTGTTGTGGCCCGATCTGTTCGTGGCGCTGATAAATAGTCCACTGGATATCACAGGCCTGGGCCAATGGTTCATACCCAAACTGACTGACACCAGGTACCCCATACTCCAAAATCCCTGTGGGTAGCGGTGGAGGTGCAGAGCAAGAACCTTTCCCAAGGCAGGATGCCCGGCCCGTCATGACAGAGAGCAGATGTTCTAAATGAAAGATCGACCACCACAACCTTTTCCGTGACTCATTTGATTCTGAATCTAGTTTGTTGCTCGTCCGTCGGAGGTTGAGTCCTAATGCGATGCCCGAACGTGCGGCAATTCCGATCATTTTCCATGATATGTGGGTTCGTTAGAAATGCGAGACAACGTGCGCAGATACATTTTCTCTGCAAGCAGCTTTTTTGGAATCCATACCTGTTAATTTGTGACACGGCCAGGAAGTAAAACCCCATAAGTGCCTCTGCCTGCACTTGTTGCAAATCCTCATGGTCGTAGAGGACATTCTCTGAAATGCTGAGGCATTTCGCTCGCGCAAAGAACATGTTCTCATCAGCATCGCCCTGTGCACCTTGCTTGGAGTATCGGCAGAATCTACTGCTAATCGCAAGGACCATGTTAAAAATAGCCAACCACTTTCTGCCGGGATTTATGGGGCTTTCTGAGAACAGGCGGTTGTACTGTTCCATGAAGAGATTTTGTCGAATTATAGGTATAGAATAATGGACCTTGTCGAAATAAATCTGGAATAACTGGTCTGCTAAGGCTTTTGGTGGTAGGACGAAAGCATTTCTCACTTCTGGAATGGAGAGACGGTCGTGATCAAGACGGTAATTCATTGAGGCGATGGAGTCGTCACTGCGAAGCAGATATTGTGGAGGGGCCTCCAAAGAATCTTCCCCCTGTCTTGTTGTGTCCGACTCCAACCGTTGCATCCACGTAACTTCGGAATTCTTACCCATGTACCCCGTAGCCCTGCTTTCTTCACTCCGATTAAGATCTTCACTCACGGTACCGATATCATCCAGAGAACCGATCGACGACGAGGATGAGGCACGAGAGGCATTGTTTTGATCCTCACTCTGTTTTGCAGAAGGGTCCTATAAAAATTAATGCTTTCTGACTGGTGTGCAGTAACATGAGACAACAGACACACGTTTAGGATGCTGGCGATTCGTTTCGCAAGGAACCCGCCGATCCGATGGGAAATATCCTTCAGCAATTCCTCGTAGGCTTTAATTTTTAGGTTCGCTGACTCTAGTTGCCTCTGCACTTTAACAGCTTTCGCTTCGGAGTAAGCACATGTCGCCAGACCCTGGGCCTGGCATTGAGTGCACATGGGCCGATTGCCGTCACATTTCATTTTTCGTTGTCGGCAGGTGTCGCAGGCTCGAGCTGTACGCTGTTGTCCTTCATTCTCGCGCCTTTCGCGCCTCAGACGTTGAATAGGTACTTTCTGTAGCATTTTGGCCCAGAGAGCAGCAACGCTTGGGTGTAGAGAAGTTGAAGTTCCAAATATGGCTGTACCAACACACAGTGACGCTCATTCAATGGTAAGATGGGAAGTGCAATGTGATTAGGTGCGGAAGCAGATCCGAATTCGGGTGGCAAAGAGTTTTATCATCAATACTGATTGTTTCAGAACATATAATGCGTTAAAAAAAAAAATATTGGTGATTGGAGGCTATTAGTCGTCCCTTAACTAGCCTTTCTAAGTGTCCACCGGCATTGAGTACACAGATGACCTGTAACCTGACCGGGGATTACAACTAATGAAGTTAAGGTGGATTAATAATCAGCCCGATTAGCAAAGCCGACAGACTTCTCATAAGACACCGTACATACGCTGTAGATGGCTGAAGTACTTATTCCATTATCACAGTGGATATAGTCCATCGATATTGCCCTTTTGTGTAATTCAGTATTACTCTTTTATATAGCCTCTTGCAGTCCGGACCATCAACTCCCCGGTTCCCCGGTCCTGAGTTGCCCACTTAACAACAAACCGGTTTAGAAAAAAAAAAATATATATATATATACGGCCTGACATCTGATAAGGAATAACGTCGGACCGATTAGGCAAGTTCCACCGACCCGATTATATAGGCCAACGTGTACGCACATTTAGATAGACAAGTACTCAACCAACTATGTGTGGGTATACGCGTTAATTGGCAATGCACTCTCTCGTTAAAATTGGACCTCTCTGTATACGACCTCGTTAGTCGCGGATAATCGACTCCTCCGGACCTCCGACCCCCGATCCAGATTACAGTTGAGGCCACCCGACCGCAGACCTCAGCCCACCCTCAAAGTGGGGCTCTTGGCACATGTGACCTCAAACATAAAAGCTCAGCCCACCCTGGCCTTACCGCACTCTGTAACGTACCATGTACATATTTCGTACAACTAGTTCTCATCATGGAAACGATCAATGTTTATGATTACCTTGAGAATGATCATACATTGATCAATGATCTTATTGATCTTAATCTTGATTCATCTACTGTACCGGATTCTATCTCTGAATCCAGTCTATATGATGAACAAAACGAGCAGATTTTACATGATCGGAATACTGCAAGACACGATGTTACCCCACCAAATCAGGTACAAATATATATACATATATACGTGGAGTACACCCAGTTTTTACTAGTTACTAACTAGTTTATGTAGATGCCACCACTCACTGTTTTAAGCCATGGAGCCCGGAATCCAATGACAGCTGCTAAAGTTGAATACATTGATTTTCTGCCCGATTATCCAGCCTCGGATCCCAATGGTTATGCATACATTATCAATACACGTGCTCTACATCCTGATGTTATTGGAAAAGCATTGACATCAGTAAGATAGAATTAGTTTACCTCTAATATCTAGTTACTGACTGGTTTAGTTTCAATACTCTCACCGGCGTGTGGGTTCAAGCCGTGAAACATACTCAACTTTCCTAAGATGTCAGGTCAAGAGATATGCTCTTCAGTGTACTGGGGTTAGAAGATGTGAATATCTTTCCTCAGAATTAGAAGGGTTGAGTCATACGCATGCTACAGAATCAATATTTGAACATATAAGAGATACTCATGCTCAATTGATTCA